TCTCTTGGCCTCAATTGAGCTTCCCAGACATCACTTCTCTCATGCTGAATACGAATCCACCTACTTCAACAGGATTGGGACCCCCAAACACTAACCATAGTCATAATAACCCTGACCATCTCAAACCTAAATCAAATATATAGCAACTTAATTAGTTGAACTTTTGGGGGTGGGAGCGTGCAGTGTCTGGAGGCCTGCTACCCGAGGGGATCAATTCAGGACAAAAACATTGTCTCCAAATGAAAATGTTTCCTTCCTTCATTGGAGCTAAAAAGCTGGTTATCGACCAAATATACTCTAAAGCAGCATGTAAAAGTTTTTATAAAATCCCAAGGGTCAGAAACTCTGTTCCAGACTTTGACTGCTTTACAAACCAAGTAGGCACAGATAGAGTAAAGTTCTCCCGCTATACTGAGTGTTACTTTTATGGTTGTTAATAAGTTGAATTTGCCAAAACTAATGCAAAAAGTTAAATAAAATCTGTGCTCATGACAAAAACTATGAAAAGACCAAATTGAAAATTTGCGTTTTTGAATTTGTCTGACCCTTTTTAGTGATGGTCCATTCAGTTTAGAAAGAGATACAAATGCTTAGTCTTCATTTTAATATCTTTTCAGCGAAATGTCCTCCCTCAGGTAATGACTCCTATTAGCATGACAAATCTGAGCTTTGTACACACTTATCCTTAAAGTACCTAGCAATTCGACTGAAGAGCTATTAAACTGAATCTCCTTCATTACACAAATGTGCAAAATTTCAAAAAATCATAGGTCTCGCTCTGTAAGACTCCTAACCTTCTTGAGTATAAAAATATTTTTCTGCTCTATTCTTTTATAAATGATAATGAGCTACAAGCTGCACAATCAACCAGGCGTATTAAATGTTATGTTTGTTTTTTTTAAACACCCCAAAATAAACCCAAACACTTCATGGGAACACTTTGCTTCCCCCCGCTAGAATAAGTGCTGGCAATCATGTTTCGTTTAGTAAGGTTTTAAGTACGGTGGCTGAGAAGTGCAACGAGAATTACAAAGAAAATGTACATTTTATAAAACAAAATGATATTAGCAAAACACTTTTACCAAAGAAAAAACAATTCAACATTAACAAAACCAAATAAACAAGATGTGAAACACTTTTACAAAGCTAGAGAAAAAATTACATTTTATAAAACAAAATTACATTAGCGAAACACTTTTACGAGAACTGAGACAAATGTACAAGTCCAGAAACACTTTAACATTTGCCGAAACACTTTAACAAACTAGAGAATCAAACCGGAAAGGGAATGTCCATCATACCTGAAGTGACATGCAAGTGATTGACACAAACTTAAGTTTGTTTCGGCGGTCTATGGAGGTTACGAGTGTGTTTATGGTCGTTAAACCTGTTTTGTCCATTTTGTGGAAACCACCTGGGCCAAGTGACACGGTTTTGCTCATCACGATATACTTTCTCGTGTGCACGAAATACATTCTCGTGCGCACCGGTTCGCCAAGTAGGAAGTGGAGCTGTGCCTTTGCACCGCCTTCGCTGTGTTTACCTTCATTAGAACAGCTAAAGAGCGACTGCAGCCTGCTTCGTTTTTATGAAGGAGAAGTCCGGTCACCAAGGTGTGTGTGTGTGTGTGTGTGTGTGTGTGTGTGTGTGTGTGTGTGTGTGTGTGTGTGGTGTGTGTGTGTGTGTGGTGTGTGTGTGTGTGTGTTGTGTGTGTGGTGTGTGTGTGTGTGTGTGTGTGTGTGTGTGTGTGTGTGTGTGTGTGTGTGTGTGTGTGGTGTGTGTGTGTGTGTGTGTGTGTGTGTGTGTGTGTGTGTGTGTGTGTGTGTGTAAAAAACTAAGCAGCCTGCAGTCGCTCTTTAGCTGTTCTAATGAAGGTAAACACAGCGAAGGCGGTGTGTAAAAGGCACAGCTCCACTTTCTACTTGGCGAACCGGTAACTTTCTCGTGCGCACGAAAACGTATCTCGTGATGAGCAAAACCGTGTCACTTGGCCCAGGTTGTTTCCACAGAACGGACAAAACATGTTTAACGACCATAAACACACTCGTGCTGTCCATAGGTACCGGCGGTCTATCCGCAAAAACAAACTTAAGTTTGTGTCAATCACTTGCACGTCACTTCTGGTATGATGGACATTCTCTTTCCAGTTTGATTCTCTAGTTTGTTAAAGTTTTTCGGCAAATGTTAGTGTGTCGGGACTTGTGAATTTGTCTCAGTTCTCGTAAGTGTTTTAGCTAATGTAATTTTGTTTATAACATTTTATTTTGTTTTTATAAAATTGTATTTTGTAACATTTAATTTTGTTTTATAAAATGTAAATGTGTCTCTAGCTTTGTAAAAGTGTTTCACACTTTGTAATTCTCGTTTGCACTTCTCAGCCACCGTTAAATGTAAAGTTCTAACCCTGTTCTTGTGAGTGTCTCGCAACTACCTGGCAAAAGTCTGAGCAGCTGAAATACACCTGCCTAAGTAGATGGGCCTGGATGATTGGAATGTGCCATTGTCAAAATAACAGAGGGGTGTTTTTAAAGGAGCCACTTCATCCAGCACCTCTTTTTGAAGTCTTCACTTCCCTGCAGATGACCATGGAGGGGCCAGCATGATCATACAATCCTGCAGTTGTGAGAGGAAGCCAGTGTTTCTTGGACAGAGGAGCACTCACCATGTTCTGTGTTAGTGATGCTTTGGGCTTTAAAGTATTTCTGTTCATGTTATATATAATTAAGCTGATTCTGATTGTATAACCCATCCTAAACATTGTTAATGTGGGTAAATCCCTATTTTTTTCAACCTGCCCTTACCGTAACCAAATCCAAACACTACTCTACCACTTTGAAACTTCACCTATGTGCTTCTATGTTTTAAGAAAGTCATGCTTAAGCCTAAACAGATGTTACGGCTTTGCTTTCTATTTGACTGATTTTAAAACAGGTGCATATGTTTTCCTGCTATTTTCCGTTTTCACAATAAAGGCACGTTTCAATTTTCATTTCATTTCATTTCAAACCTTTATTTAACCAGATTGGTCCCATTGAGATCATAGATCTCTTTTTCAAGGGAGACCTGCAGCATATAGGTTCCACATGAAACATAAAACAATAAAGGACATCATACATTATATTTACAGGATACATTTACATAGTTAGACATTTACAAGTGGCCATAGTATCAACAAGTATTTCATTTAGCCTAGCTTTAAAAACATGCAGAGGAATGAGATTGCTCAGTTTCAATTATTGCTGAAGACTGTTCCAAGCAAGTGGAGCTGCGCACATAAAAGCTGTCTTACCTAAAACAGTCCTTGCTCTTGGCACATCTAACAATACTACATCATGCGATCTCAGACAATAGCTGCTTGCAACTCTCTGTGTTATCAGAGATAATGTTATGTAATGTTATAATACGGGAGTTTACCCAACAAAGCTTTATAAATAAACGTGTACCAATGACTGAGCCTCTTTACAGTAAGTGATGGCAGACCTGCCTTGGCATACAGGGTACAGTGATGAGTAAGTGCTTTACAATTTGTGACAAATCTCAGTGCGCTGTGATAGGCGGCATCTAACTTGTTCAGGCAATAGGCAGGTGCATTCATATACAACAAATCACCATAGTCCAGCACAGGTAAAAAGGTCACAGTGACTAGCCTTTTCCTGGCTTCAAAAGAGAAACCTAGCCTAACCCTCAGCATTTTAAGCAGGTTATTGACATGAAGTTTAAAAGTAAGACAATCATCAAGCCAGATACCTAGGTATTTATAACTGGTAACCACTTCAAGTACTTGTCCTTGCATAGTGACAATATCTAAAACAGGCTCTGGTGTCTTTTTAGCTTTTGAAAATAGCATTACCTTGGTTCTATCAACATTTAAAAGAAGCTTAAGCTCAGCGAGCTGAGTCTGAATAATGTTAAAAACAGCCTGTAATTTAACACCAGCCTCCTTAATGGAGGGACCTGCACAGTACATCACGGTATCATCAGCATACAAATGTAAAGTAGCTTCATCCACATTTTCACCTAAACTGTTGATATATATGGAGAATACAAGTGGACCTAAAACAGAACCTTGAGGAACACCATTAGCAATGTTTAACCACTCAGAAGACAGCCCATCAAAGTGAACACATTGGGACCTTTCAGAGAGGTAGTTCACAAACCAACCCACTGCATGGCTGGATATGCCGATACTGAGTAGCCCAGAGTTTCCGTTAGAATATTTTTTCGCCGGTCAACATGTCCGTTAAAGTTTAAATCTTCCGGACAAAATTAGAAAAGTGCCGGTCAAAGGTCTTCTTTGTTATTTATTGTGCTTTAAATCAAATTGATATGATTCGATATTAAACAAACTAATTATAGGCCTAGTAGATTAACTACATTATTCAAAAGTGTACAGTAATTTACAATAACACGGGAATAATAAACGGAGCGCTCTCCCTCTCCTGTCAGCCCGTCAGTATCATGCAGCTCGTGGATCAGTAATGAGTGACCCGACAGTAAAACTAAACATATCTATAACTAGTTTAGGTAGATTGAGAGGTAAAATAGCTACGTGTGATATTCTAACCTGAAGTGTGTGTTTTGTCCGCTCACCACTGCATGTGATCATGCAGAGCTGCGTGTCGACTCGTCAGCAGCAGCTGATCTCTCTCTCCCGTCAGATTAGACTTCACTCGCGTTTATGTCCATATCGATCAGATCCAGCTAGTTCTAGCTAATGATAAGACTACCTGCTTATTAAAAGACACCTAAACAATAAGTGTCGCTATGCAACCGGGTGAGGCCGCAAAGTATAGCGCAGCATTATGCATTTGTTTACATGCCCACCGGAACCCCGAGGCATTACCAACAGATCAACGCACAATCAACCCATCCAGGACATCTCTTTCTCCACATTACGTGTTAGACATTAGAATTGACTATTCTTGTCTGTGTAACCGGTCTGGTTTGACGCCACATGTGATCTCTGCGTTGTGTTATGTTGTGTAAATGAGAACGACTTCTTTCTTGCCAACCAGGATTTATTCTCTGTGCAAAACAGAATATAATAATTAAAGCAGGAAATGGCTTCATCAGCTTTCTAACTTCACACTTCTCCTCAGTGGGGCCTGAAGCTAACTCAGGAAAGTATACAGAGTTCTAAATAATACAATTAACAGATATACATCTATCCATGGTGGCAAACCAGTTTTTCCTTGTAAACCAATATACACAAATATAACCATTAATTTACACTTACATAACAAACAATACAATTTACAGTTACAAAATACAAAAAGAATACCCACATACCTGTGCAAAACAGAATATAATAATTAAAGCAGGAAATGGCTTCATCAGCTTTCTAACTTCACACCTTCAGTGGAAGAAAACACGCACATGTTAGGTTAGCATATAGCTAAACTTTAGAAAGCTCCCAAACACTGTTTGAAGCGCTGCACATTATATAAACTACAGTCACACACGGCAAAATATAGATATTAACTGCAAATAGGTTTGGCTTGTGTGAAGTGTAACATTAAACAATCTATTAACATATAAAATACAACATTTATGACACCACTCGTTCCACTTACTTCTCCTCAGTGGGGCCTGAAGCTAACTGAGGAAAGTAGCGCGAGTCTGCAGAAATGTGCCGGTGCCATGAGTACCAAAATAAAACGTACTTTTCAAAATAAAAGCATCTAAAAAATAAAGTGACAGTGACAAGTTTTACAAATAAAGTATGGACAATGATTTTACTGAAATATAAACAAGTGAAGTTATACATTGGTTACATACACCCCTCCTATATTTCGCAAAAATCCAGACCATAGTGTACCTCTGAATAAACCATTCTGACCTCCAAGACAACTGACATCAAACTTGTGCAGGGTTAACTGAAAAACTCTTAGCTTTACCATCGGCTGTAAAAGCCACCTACTATATAGGTTCAGAGAAAACATAAGGGAGATCAAGCCTTAGTCCCTCCTAGATTAATATGATGCCTTGTACACCATACAACTCCCTGCTACTCTCAAACATGTAACATATTACACAAAACACATACATTAGACATTGTCCCTTAAAAAGGCATATTTACCAGATCAGAGGTACAAACAAAAACAAAAAACTACAAGCTTGTCACTTTAAAACAGTGTAAGTAGTGACTGAGATCTCTTGTTAACTGAACTCACAAAACCCCTTAAATCAAAAGGCTTTTGGACCATGGACTCAATGAGTCGATTGATTCTTTTGCTAACCCTGCCTGCCCTTGTCCTGACTACAGGTTCAGTTTCTACTGTCGATTGTACCTGTGTAACTGTGACATGACCTGTGTCTGCAGGATGTGACTGAGTGTTTAGGTGTCCTGAATGTACATGTGACATGAATGATGAGTCTGAGTCAGCCCCTGCAACTAAACTGTCGAAGTTAGTGTCTCTGCTGGACCGGTTCTGGTCATTTGGGAAGCACTGAATTGGACCATCTGCAGACCAGTCCACTTCTGGAATGCCCTGACTTGACTGATCCACCTCAGACGATCGTTCACTCATAATCATTTGACTCCGGGTTTCCTCTGATCCACTCATTATCCACGTACTGGTCCTGCCTCTTGAATCCTCCTCCTCCTCCAAAGAGTCCAGGGAATCAGTCGTATACGACCTTTCCTCCACTTCAGTATCACACAATTCTTCTCCAGTTGTCACCACAGGCAAAAAGCTGATGTCTAAGACCAGGTTTCGATGAACTATCTTAGTGTTTCCACTACTGTCCACCAGCTTGTATGTGTGTGTCTGCAGGTTTCTGTCTTTAACTGTGTACACAATTGCACTCCATTTGTCAGCCAGTTTCTTCTTTCCTCTCTCACCTTTGTTTGCAATGAGCACTCTGTCCCCTAAGTTCAGGTGAATGCCTCTCACTTTTCTGTTGTAACCACTTGCTTGTTTGTCCTGTTCTTTGATGCTGTGTTCTTGGGCAATTTCTTACTGCTTCATGAAGATGTGACATGAGCGTTTGGCATAGCTTTTGTAATCAACAAACCACTGGATCATGCAACACTTGCTTGAACATCACATCCACAGGGAGCCTCGGGGTTCTGCCGAACATAAGCTGGAACGGTGCATATCCTGTTGTTTCATGTACTGTTGCATTATATGCAAAAGTCAGAGCTTGTATCTGTTGAGGCCACTTGTGTTTCTCTTTTAGAGAGAGAGACCGCAGCATATTCCCAAGTGTTCGATTGAATCTTTCTGTTCCTCCATTTCCCATTGGATGGTATGCAGTAGTGTGTGATTTGGAGACTCCGGAAAGTTTGAGCAATTCTGCTATGAGCTCACTCTCAAAATTAGCTCCCTGATCGGAGTGAACACGCTCTGGAAAGCCATACACACAAAACACGTGATCCCACAGCTTCTTGGCGACCTGTTTTGCAGTCTGATTAGTGCATGGAAAAGCGTGGGCTAGCTTTGTGAAGTGGTCTGTCAAGACAAGAACATCCACTGAGTGCTGCTTACTATCCTCCGCACTCCAGAAGTCTATGCACACTAACTCCATGGGGCAGACGTCCTGATGCTTTCAAGTGGGGCTCGAGCCGAGGGTTCTGGTGTCTTCGCCAGAATGCACCTTTGACAGCATTTGACATACTCTTTGACATCAGACTCCATCTTCGGCCAAAAGAACCGCTGTCTTGCTAGATGCAAGGTCCTAGCCTGTCCCTGATGCCCAGCAACATCATGAATGCCATGTAATGCTTTTTCTTTAAGACTGTCAGGCAGAACATACTGATGCCTCTTTTGTTTACTGAAATTATCCTTGGTGACCCGATAGAGGACACCATTCTGAACCTTCAGTCTCTCCCATTGTTTGATGAGAACCATAACTTTGGCATCTAGTCCTGATCGTTCACGTCTGGAAGGACGGCGGTTGCGAAGCACAAATGGTAGGAGTTTTGAAATAATGAGATCAAATTCCTGACTGTGCTTGAGTTCCTCTAACGAGAACACAGGAAGGGAGTCTTGGCCCGGCAGCAACAGATCCTGGACAGTCTGAGCCAACTCCACAGCTCTCGTCTCGGCAGCAATCTCCCACTGAGCATGAACATCTAAAAGAGCCTTGACAGCTACAGAATCACTGTGACACATGAGGGGGTCAGATTGAGACTTAATGCTGCCACCAGGTAACTTCTTCATCTGCTGACACTGGACTTTGAGTCGGAAAGTGTCTTGAATGCCGTCGTGACTAACACCCTCGGCTTCAGCAAGAAGGTGACTGTACTGCTCTGTGATGAGCCTGTGGCTTACTGATCTTGCGAAAGGATCTCTGCTGAGAGCATCAGCCACTATGTTCTTGGTGCCAGGTATATGTCTCAGGTCGAATGTGTAAGGAGCGAGCCTAGACACCCAGCGCTGTTCGCACGCATCAAGCTTCGGTTTCGTCAGGATGTAGGTAAGAGGGTTATTATCAGTCCATACTGTAAATTCATGGCCTTTTAACCAATGGCTAAATTTTTCACACACACTCCATTTCAGGGCCAGAAACTCAAGCCTATGGGCGGGATATCTCTTCTGAGAGCCACTGAGAGTCTTACTTGCAAATGCAATGGGACGTGCTTTCTCTTCACCAGCTGGTATCTGTGATAGCACGGCCCCTAGCCCGTCCAGAGAGGCATCAATAGATAGAATCAGAGGGCGAGAGAAATCTGGGTGTGAGAGGACGACGTAGCTCAAGAGACTGTCTTTCAGATTACAAAGAGCCGCATCACATTCCTCTGTCCAATCAGAGGGTTTCAGTTTCCTGAAGGAGCCGGTATTGGAGTTTAGTTTGACTCTCCCTCGTCTCTTTTGGCCTGCAGTAAGAGCAAACAGTGGCTTGGCCATAGCAGAACAGTTAGAGATAAAATGTTGATAGTAGAACACCATCCCCAGAAAATACTTTATCCTCTTTACTGATGGTGTGCAACCATCGTCTTCCATCAGGTCCAACTTTGACATTTTTGATATGACCTCAACTTTTGCTGGATCCATAGCCACTCCATTACCATCTATAATGTGACCTAGGAACTTGACTGAAGATCTCATCAGGTGGCATTTCTTTGGACTCAGTTTAAGGTTGTGAAGCCTGAGCCGCTGAAAAACAACCTCCAGCCTCTCCAACGCCTCTTCTTCAGTTGCAGCAAACACAAGCAGATCATCAAGATAACACAGCAAACTGCTGAAGTTCAGGTCTCCAAATATGCTGAGCATCATGCGCATGAATGAGGCAGGACTGTTGCACAAACCTTGGGGCATCCTGTTGAATTCATACAGTCCCATTGGAGTAGTGAATGCAGTGTATTTCTTGTCCTCCTCTGCCATTGGGATGTTATAGAAGCCAGAGGTCAGATCCATTGTGCTGAAGTAGGTGTTCCCACCCAGGGAAGCCAAGCAGTCTGACTGGTGTGGTAATGGGTGCGCATCCTTGAGCGTCCTTGCATTCAGCCACCTGAAGTCTGTGCAGAGTCTCAAACTGCCATCTTTTTTCCACACAAGTACAAGGGGAGAGGCATAATCACTTACTGACTTCCTGATGATCTCCTGTTCTTCCATTTCTGAAAGGACCTGTCGCAGTTTCTGGTAATGGGCTGGTGGCACCCGCCGGTAAGGGAGACGGAATGGTCTCTCATCAGTGAGCCTGATGCGGTGCATGAAGCCCTCTGCCTCACCGCAGTCCAGAGCATGTTTGGAGAAAATGTCATTGTACTTTTCAAGCAGCGCGACCAACCTCTTCTTTCCTCCTTGGCCAGCCTGGCACTGATTGATATCAACCTCAGTCAGTCCAACCTGTTGTAGTCGCTGCTTGAAATCTGTAGGTTTAGCCTTGCCATGACTTTCCTCCTCCTTAACGTTGTTGAGTTGGCTGGTACCTTGAAAAACCTCAAACTCTTCAACAGCTAGACAGGGGAACACGTCGGCCAACTTGCTGTTTCTTTTCAGGGTGATAGGCTTGTCTGACACGTTTGTGACTTTCATTGGGATCCATCTGTCACCCCACAATGGTGTAATAACACGACCGATCATGATGTTACGAGGCATGCACTTGGATGAGGTGGGCTCAACTATTACTGTGCTGCCTGGAGACATGGGAGCGTTATTTGGCAACTTACCCCAAACAAGATGTTCTTTCTTAGCCAACAGCGTAACCGCATGCTGGAGTTTAACGGTCCCGATTCTGTCTGGAAGCTCCTCGCCTCTCCACCTGGATGAGTTTGCCATGAGATCAAGGAACTGTTCACACTCTGGGAGAAGATTTCCACTGGAAACCAGGCGCCAATAGTCACTGGTTATTTTCAGCTGATGCATGATAAATCTGATGACATTTGTGCCTATGATTAAGTCATCTCGTTGGCCAGGCACCACAAGGACAGGTACGATACAGCTCTCCCCATACAGTTTCATTTCCACTTCGTACATACACTTGGGTTTGCTAAGTGTCCCTCCACAGCCTATTAGCACAATCTCTTGAGTCAAAGGAATGGATTCTGAGAGTATATTCTCACTCAACATCTTCTGCTCTGCCTGCTCGCTGAGAGTACAAGCCATGGAACCAGAGTCAAGCATCCCCTGCACCTGAAATGTGTTGTTAATGCTAACAGGGGTGTAAAACAACTCATCAAAAGGGCCCACTCTCTGTGTATTTTGCACTATTACCTTAGCATCGGCTGGTGCTGCTGCGCATGCTTTTATATAATGAGTTTCAATATCACCACTGTTGAGGGTTTCTTCTCTGTTTCCCACACATTCCCTCACTAAATGCGGGCCAGTTAGTTTAAAGGTTGAGAATTCTGTGGCGGGAAAGCCGGAGAACCTCGGCCAGCCTGACGGTTAGGACAGTTCTTCTTGATGTGGTTTGGCTCGAAGCACACTAAGCAGAGGCGTTTCTGCCTGCAGTGTGCAAGGGTGGAATGATCTAGAGACTGGCAGACCCTGCAGGCTTTCGGTTGAAATGGATCAGAGGGGAGTGGTTTGTGTGTAACCTGGTTGTTCTGTAACAATGCTCTGTCAAATAAACTGACTAACATTTTCATACAGTCATCATTACAAGAGGGCTTGGATGCTGTGCTGTCCTCACCTTGCATAGATGGCTCCCGTGGGTGACATACTATCTCTGAAACGTCAGGTGCGGAAACCTGGACATGAACTGTCACTGGTTTAACTCTCTTTGATTTGGAAAGCACCTGTTCTTTCATTTCAGTTTGGTAGCGATCAATATGCTCTTGGATTTCACTAGCTGTCCACTTATCTGGTGCCTTAAACTTGAAAACAGCAGCAAGGGTGGGATCTGGGCAGTATTTGACAAACATCATCGCTACTTCCTGACAAGAATCCTCCATCTTCCGCCCTAGCCTCTTCAAGCCCTCCTCCGCTGCATCAACTGCCTTGTTTAGCCGAAGCCAGTACTCTACGGGGGACTCTCCTGCCACTGGAACTGTACTGTAGAAATCAGCCATGGGCATACATGAATAGGTCACATCACTAAAGTGTTGTCTGAGGATGTCATAGATCAATTGTGGGTTATCTTGAGGCTTCATGGATGGGCAGCTCCTCAGAGTTATCCTCACTATGTCTTTAGCCTTGCCCATTAACTTAGACATGATCTCAATGTGCTGTTCTCTCAGAGGTGTGGCTCGTTTCCTGAAATACACTCCCATTAACTCTTCCCACTCACAGACTGTATTCTTGTCAGATCCATCTCCTCTGAAGACTGGAGGCTCTCTCACATCTGACTGCAACACTAACTTTGCACCAGTCAAGTTGAGGTAAGTGTGGTCACTGGGTAACTGGCCAACACCGCTCTGAGCTGGTGTGGCTCCAACACCCCTCTCTTCACATTCCCCCCTTAACTGATCTCTTATAGTCTGTCCTACCTGCTGAGCAATGTGTGTTATCAGGTTATTTAAAGCTGCATCATTTGTATCTGGAAGGCTTGAATGTGAATCC